TTTTTTTTTTTTTTTTTTTTTTAAAATTTAAACTTAAAAAGACAAAAAAAATCAAGTCAACGACAAGCAATACTGACTTTTATTATGTTTTCTTATTGTGTTAAATCTGTTTATAAAACTCACATGTGAGCATCTGATCTAATCTAATCCTGAAAGCAAGTCGACTTCTTGTCCTACACGGGAAAATAAGTTTTAAAAATGTCATAAATGGTACAAACAATCGCATGTATCTGTAAAATAATGACATTTTTTCCTAATTTAACTATAGCAATGTGTAATCTGTAAAACGACACTAACTTGCTCGTTAAATTACGGTTAGAAAACGTTAATTTTTCACAGCGTAGGACGGAGACTTTGCATATTTGCTGCTTCATCTTTGTCTGCGTTGTGCATCTCTGTGACTCCGCTCCGTGTGAACTCATCTCTGGACCGGGTTCAGCCGATCCAGACTCCTCCTCTGCCTCGTCGCAGCAGCTCAGTGGTTCACCTACGTGCTGACTCAGTCTGTTAATGTTCAACTCAGCCAGTCAGACCGCCACTTCCTGCATCTGACAACGATTTGAACTCCCCGCTGGCCTGTCTGTTTACTGGGAGTGAAGGGAATAACCAGCCGTGGAGGAATACCCCAAATACTTTCACACAATGCTCTTGGTGTTTCAAAGGGGAATTTACTGTTAACTAATCACTGGCCTGCACAGACCCGTCCTGAACTCAGGGTGTAATTAAATGTGTTTGTCAGCTTTCCCTATTGTGCAAACTTTGACTAATTGATACATTTAAATTCTGTTTAAGCTGGACCTTAATCCCAAATAATGAAAATATGCTTATGTGCAGTTTCAGGGTTAATCCTGTTTCCTCTGCCCAAATACCCTCTCATTATCTATTTGGCTGGACTTTGCCATTGGTGGATAATAAAGATGTCCTTGATATTACTAAACATCTCCACCCTGCAGTTACCACTTTTTTTAATTTTAAATTTTTTTTCCCGCCTTTTCTTGGATGATGGTGAATTTGCGAATCTTTCTATAGCACTGAAATCCTTTGATTGGTCTGAAAAAAAGAAGGAAAAAATCTTTGTTTTTAAGCATGCTAATAGAAAATTTTGACAGTATAAAACATGTTTCTGTGTCATTTTGTAAGAAAATGTATGTAACACACGACTTTTGTTGTTTTTACTGTTATTATAAGAGTCATGTGGAAGGTTACCCATTAATTTGAACAAAAAACTAAACTAAAAATAATACAAAAAACTCTTAATCTCTTGCTAATGTTAGATTTGTAATACATGTCACACCAGAGCTAAAAAGCAGGAAGAAAACGTAGAGTTGTCTGTCTTAAATGCTAATAAGCTTACTTTATGCTAATAATGTTATGCTATATTAGCTTGCCGTAACACTAGCTAGCTAGCTAGCTTGAATTCTTTGCTAATGTTGCCTAAACATCCCTGGTGATTTTTAATTATTTTATGTCAGGAATGTAAATATATATGATAATAAAGTATAGTAAAGTTATAGGTGCTCTTCTAAGCCCATTAGCTGTAAATTAATCTGTAATAATCGATGCCATCAAAAAAAAAAGATGTTCAAAATCTAGCCTTGCTAATGTTAGACTTCTGATAGATTTTGTACACTACTACTACAGTAACACCGTAGCCGAATGATGCTATATAATGTATATTTATTTGTCTAAAAGCAAACTAGCTGACTTTATGTTAAGCTAGTAACGCTACGCTATATTAGCTTGCTATAACTCGAGCTAGCTAGCTTGAATTCCTTGCTAGTGTCAGCTATGCACCCCTGGTCACTGGACCTTATTTTTTTCCTCAGCAATTTAAATGTAAATTAAAATAAAATATATAGCAAAGTTGTAGGTGCTGTTCTAGGCCCATCAATTCTAAAATGACTGGAAATAATGAAGCCATTAAAAAAAAAAGATGTTCAACATGTAGTTTAGACTTCTGATAGATTATGTATCCTGCTATCTAATACAGTAACACCACAACTAAGCAATGCTATAAAATGTATATTTGTTTGTCTAAATGCAAACTAGCTGACTTTTTGCTAAGCTAGTAACGTTACGCTATATTAACTTGCTATAACTCGAGCTAGCTAGCTTGAATTCTTTGCTAGTGTCAGCTATGCACCCCCAGTGATTTGACATTATTTTTTTCTCAGCAATTTAAATATAAATTAAAATAAAATATATAGTAAAGTTATAGGTGCTGTTCTAGGCCTATTAGTTCTAAAATAACTGGCAATAATCAATGATTTAAAAAAAAAGTACTCTGCTAATGTTTGACTTGTGATAAATGATCTACTCTACTATCTAATACAGTAACACTACAGCAAAGCAGCATTAAATATGTAGAATTATGTGTCTAAAATGCTAACGAGTTGACTTTTCGTGAAGCTAATAATGGAATGCTATCTTAATGTAGCCATCTGAATTGAGTGTATCAGCGTTGAATCTTGTTTGCCAAAAGTCCTTCGCTTTTTATGTAAACAGAAATGAACACGCCTGTTTCTTTATCTTCCAGCAAAGTGAAGGTGACAGCATCACCTCAATGACAAACCAAACGTTCAGTGTTACAGGTTGTCTAACGAGTTTACTCGAGTGTGTTTCTGTAGGTGGAGTTTATTCGTAGCAACACAATCTGATTTTGGACGTCATGTTTATCATATTTTTCTCTCGTAGTAATCTTGGCTTACAGTTTACGTTGGCTGAGCTGGAATTCCCCCGTTTGCTGGCTCTTGTTTAAACAGAAAAAACAAACAGCCAATCATCAGGCGACACGCTCCCTGAACGCCTCATGTTTGCCAGGGCGTAATTTATTATAAATGTTTACAGCAGGAGACACACACACAGATTTTTAACTGTGATTTATTTATAAAGCTCATTTTAATCTCAACTCTACAGGAAACACAACGTAAACACAAGAAACACAAGTGGGCATCATATTTTCAATTAATCCATTAGTTTTAATTAACTTTGCATAATCAGAACAATTCGCCAGGCAGCATACATGGTTAAAAAATGCTAATTTTTATGCAATTTTTAAGTGTAATTTACAGATTTTCCAGTTTCGATAAATTACAGATAATATTTAGAAAAAAAAATTTGTTCTTTTGCAATGTTTGACATAAATTGTTTTACTCTATTTAAATCAGAAAAAAAAATGCAAATACTTGCCATTATCGGAAAGACACAATATGTATATTAAGGATCGATGAATGAAAAACTTTATTATACAGATGTAAATTAAGATTTTTAAATTAGAGTTACAGCTATTTAGTAAAATCACATTTAAAAAAGTATTAATTTGCATTAATAAAACATACAAAAAACAACCAAACTGTCCAAAACTGTAAATGAAATCCACATGAATTTTGCATATTTAACAGTAAAATGTTTAAATTAGCTAAAAACAAAGTCATTATTTTTGAGATATTTGTCGTCATTTTCATTGTTTTTTACAGTTTTTGAAGGTTCCAGTATTTCAGGTTTTATTTTCTGTGGCTCCCTTGCTGCCAGATTCTTACATGTCTTTTATCACAGATTATTATTATTATTATTATTATTTTAAATATAAATGTATAATGTAGTGTGAGGATCCACATGTTCCCATTCATACGCTTCCACTCATGACTCAGCACATTGCCTCATCCTTCTAAGCAGCTGCTACTCCTCACATTCCTGCAGCGATGACTCTCGTTCGCTTTCCGCTTGTTTTTCCTTTCAGGGAAATTATGGGAAAAAAATTATGGGAAGTGTTAAGTAGCTAAGAAACAGAAAACGAAGCTTCCAGGCTGTGATTTGTTTGGGATGCATAAGAAACACTGTGAAAAAGGTGGAGAGTACATTTACTCAAGTACTGTACTTGAGTACAATATCGAGTATTTCCATTTCTTGCTGCTTTATACTCTTATTCCACTACATTTTAGAGGCAAACATTGTTCTTTTTTTTACTTTTATTCACAAGTTAATTTGCAGATTTTGTTAATTATTTAAAAAAATATATAAAAAATAAAAACAAGTTGAGCTGTATTTATTAAGAAAACATAATGTACTTTAATCACCTTTACCAACCTCAAACTTCAAGTGATGATTACCTTTATACATAAATAGTAATGGTAAAGTAACAGTAATGAAGTACATATTCTGCTTTCACTTAAAAATTTAGGCGCTTCTTCCACCTCAGCTGCTGTTTTCAGGCTCAAAAATGAGCATTCAGCTGCATTTATTACATCATAAATAATGAATATTACCATTATCAGCAGTGATATTGTTGTTGTGGCTGATGCAACAACTTTCAACTTGCTGAAAGGAAAAAGCTCTCAGCTCTCAGGAAAGTGAAAGTATGATGCAGTGAGCACAGAGCTTTATGGGGAAATCCCTTCATCTGCTTTTATAAATAGGTGGACAGCTCCTGCCTCGCTTAAAGTCACGGCGGCTACAGAGCAGGAACACTACAGAGGTAGAACATGTTCAGAGTCAACATGAAGAAGCTGATCTGTGCAGTCAGCGGGAGGAAAAAACCTCAGAGGAGCGACAGCAAGAGACGTCTGATGGAGAAGAACAACAACAACAGTGTGCAGGGCGGTAAGAAGCTGCCATTAATAACACAAGAGCTGCTTTGTTTCTGGACTGTTTGGCTCTTAAACCGTCTGGTTAGTGCAGATTTCTACTGAATGCATCAGTCAAGCTCAGTTAAAATACTTCAACTCTGAGATTGAAGTGTTTTTTTCCCCAATAATAATTAAAAAAACAAGCACAAAATAATGCAAAAATGACAATTTTAGTTTATAAAAAAAGCTTCTTTTCTGCTTCAGTTATCTGTTTAACTGAACTTTTTTGAACAAAGAAGCACATATAGATGAACATGGAGACAATGTGGGTTTTCTGAGGCCAACCGTCATCATATATTTTGTTTTTTTGTCAATTACTAACCTCACATATAAGATGCTGCAGCATGTGTTCTGTTTGTCTAACGTTAATATCTGTATATGGATTGTACATGTCATTCCTGGAAAGCGGTTAAGACCAGAAATACCTTCAACAGATGATTCAACTGAAGTGATTTATGTAACACGACGAGTTTTTGAAAAAAGAGGAAGTTGGATTGTGGTCATCACAACTGCATCATCTGTAAAATGCAAATTTTTCTGTCTGTTCGGTCGACTAATGTGAGAATCAGGACAACACAGCGTCATCTTTAGGTTCCAAAAAGTTTGCTTTTCTCTTTTTTTAACGCTTTTTTATTGCTTCTCATTTCATTTGTATTTATTTTAATGGTCCTTGTGTGTGTCTGTGCTGACTCAAAGTCTTTATCGCTTTTTGTGAAAAGTGCATTTTGCAAGATTTAAATTCTTGCTTTGTGTAAAAATCCTACAGACACATAGAAAAAAGATGAAGCCAAACCAGAAATATGCTGAAACCCACATCAATCATTAAGCTGCATGGGGGTAAAACAAGGCGTGCTGGGAAATGCCGCGTATTCCTGGATAAATCTGTAACTGCAGCAGGCTGTGTGTGGTGTTGTGTTGTGTTGTGGTTCAGAGTGTACACGCTGCTGTTGTTGTGTGCGACATGTTAGCGTAGAAACAAACAGCGTGTAAGGAAGTTTTCTTTTGGTATGTGTCAGCTGTGCCAACGTATGGCAGGCTGTGGTTTACTTCTGTAAACCGGTTCCTCTGCTTTCTTACGACCGGGTGGAAAATCAGGGGCGTAGTCCAGAAGGAATTTTATCTAAAAGATTAATCATAAAGTAACTAGCCTCGGTAGGTCAGTACACACCCCCGTGGTTAAACAAAACACGTCAAAGTCACCAGAAGAAACTAAAACCATCCTCCAAACCAGTGCTCAACTAAAGCCAGTGCTAATGTTTGTGTAGTAATGATCCGGCTAAAGTCATTTTTTCAAGCCCCATCCCTTAATGCTGGGTGTTACTGCTGCAAAACTATCTGTAAACGTGTACGGAGAGTTGTGTGTCTGGAGTGAGATTTGTTGATTAAGATATTGATAGATGAAAAGATTTGTGAAGGAAAAATGACTTTCCTGGTTTGGAGTTAATCTTTTAGAGAAGGCATTGAACTGATTTATTGAAGAGATTTCGTTTATTGGCTTCTTATCGATGACTGTTCTGAGATATTTGTCGAAGGTGGTAATAAAATATATGGGGGTGGAATTATAGCAAAACTATTTGTAAACGTGTACGGAGGGTTGTGTGTCTGTAGTGACACTTGTCGATGTGTAAAAAGATCTGTACCAGATATTAGTAGATGAAAAGTATTTGGCTGGAAAATCAGACAATCACCAGCTACAAGTCAAGGTCTCACCATTGGCTGTCTTCCTACACATGACGGATTTGTATCTGTCACTTCAGGGTTTCTTTGCCCTGAGCTCAGGCTCACAGGCTCATTCATTCTGGCTGCGTACCACTCTGCTGCTGAACGAGAGATGAATGAGCCTGTGAGTCTGAGCTCAGGGCAAAGAAACCCTGACGTGACACGCCCGCTTGACTTGTAGCTGGTGATTTGTTTGTATTTCCAGCAGTTGTAGCCAAATACGTTTCATCTATTGACATCTTTGTACACCTGGATGAATCACTGACAGATCTTTGTACACATTTACAAATAGTTTTGCTATAATACCACCCCTATACATTTTATTACCACCTTAATCAGATATCTCGGAACAGTCATCGATAAGAAGCCAATAAACTGCGATAAGAACCGTGTTCCAAGGACAACAGGACTAAAAACTCCCGTGTTTTCTGTGCAGTAAATCTGCTGAACTCCAAAACCCCCCGGAAGGTTTTGAAAGGCATCTTAAAAAAAAAAAAAAAAAAAAA